TTTCATACCTTACACCGACTGCTGTCTCCTTTCCCCTACAGTTTCTGTTGTTTATCCCGTGTGTGTGTGTGTGTGTGTGTGTGTGTGTGTGTGTGTGTGTGTGTACGCGCGCGCGCGCTGAGTATCTTTAACTGGAAATGACAAGTTCTGGTTCCTACCCCTTACAGTTATCTCCCTGGATAGTTGGACTTGATTCGTCGATCTGGAGCTCGTGAACAGGCATGAGAAACTGAGCTTGCAACACTTCTTTTTCATGCCCTCCAAATGTCATGGACTTTGGAAATTACTCTTCATGATCCCTAAAGAGAAGCTCAAGACACATTTACCCACCAAATACTGCAGCACAAAAGCAGGCAAGGTCAGTATTGGGATGGAATGGTTTTGGGGTATTTTTCTCAGTAATACCTGACTTTTTTATATGGGGACAAAAGAGAAAAACTAGGTTATTGCATAAGGGAAGAGAGAACAAGATTGTAACAATAACAACAACAAAAGAGAAATAGAAGTGACAGAAGAAAGGAGATACAAAGGAAGACACTGTGGACTGAGAGGAGGGAGGAGATAATGAAAGAATGACGATATGAAGGGAGAGAAAAAGAAGAAATCGTAAGAGACAGAGATACAGGAAAGCAGATTCTTTCATCCGGAATTTATTCTAGCCAGGGATCTTAAGTCAGAAAACCAGATCTGAACAGTGCAGACGTCAAGCATTTCCAAAGCTTTCAGGTGTTGAAGACAGGGGTTTCAAGATCTCCCACACTCTCACCAACTATAGAAACATATCAAATACCATGATTAGGGATTCTTTCCCCCCACAAACGAGCATTATCTCTCAGGATGACACTCTATCACAGTGCTGTCTTTATGGTAGGTTTTAAGTCCATTTGCTGAACGAATGCATGTGCTTCCGAAGGACAAATATCTCTCCAATTGTAGCTTATTTCACTGGTTGTGCAGGGATTGTCCAGACTTATTCCGACCTCTGAAGCAATGGGGGCAGTAGAAATTGCGAAGAAGGATGGAGTGAAGAGGGACCAATGAAGAAAGGAGATGTAGGAGTTTTGAATCAGTAGAAACAAAGTCACTTCCTTACTGTGCTGCATTTTGTTGAATATACACATTGACCCCATGCTTATGAAAGTAGGACTTTATTATTCTTAGAGAGCACTGCCAGTTACCCTCCCAACTTTGACTTGAAGTTCTGGCTGGCTGTGAATGGCCTTCAGCTTCTGAGTGTCGGAATATAAGCTGGCTCTGTGATAACAAGTCTTTCTCCCGAATTTCCTGGTCAGTTTACATTCATAGTAAATAGTACCTGCCTCATTCCTGCCTGAATGATTATTCATCTCAGTAAATGAATGGACTCCCAGCCCTACCTTACCCCCGGACTTATATGTTCCCTATATATTCCCTTCTGGGTTGCTATCTTGATGTTTGCCAGCAAATTATAATCCCAATTCCACATTTTTATCCAAGATACCAAAACCCAGAGTCCAACAAAGGAATGAATAGGATTCATTTTCTCCTGGATGTAAAAGAATGTGAATTGCTCTGTTCTCTCTTTGGAGAGGTTTGTATTTTGCCTTCATTGTGGTCAGAGAGGAGCCAACATTTATTGGCATTATTCCATCTGTAAGAGAGGGTACTAGAAGCTCCACATATATCACCTCATTTCTTCATGATAATAACCCTGTGGGGTGTTGTTTTAAAATCCTCATCTTTCTGAAATTTATGAAGGTGAAGAAACTTGCTGTGAGATAAAATTGCTATAAGCTAGCACAATGGTAAGCCAAGTCCCTATCATGCCCAAAGATTGCCACAGAATAGACAGTGAGACCTGCACCCACTCAAGTATCGTTAGGAAAAGGAACAAGTTTGAGTCAAGTACTTTGAAAATGCTTCGTTTACAGATCAGTGTGAGTGTATATTAGGTCAAGGATGCTTTTGAGAAATTGGCAGGAGGTACATGCTGTTAGATTAAAAACCAGAAGATTTAAATTTTGTCATTGACTTGTCTTTTGCTAAATGCTGGATCCTGGCTAGAAACTTTTTTTGGATAAGCGAGAATCCTTTCTAACACTCTGACTCTTCTTATCCAGTGAAAGATGCTTCTTGGGATTTTGTACAAAGGGTGGTCTTTAGTCTTATTTGAGAGTAGTGACAAATGCTTCTAATGAAATAGTAACTTATAAAACCTTGTCAGTTGATGCCTCCTTTTATGCACCCTGGACCTGATCTGATTTCCAGCATTTTCTGTAATATTTGTTTGTTTGTTCATAATATGGCTTATCTCATATGTGTTATGTTATTGGGGGTTACCTTCATGAAGTTGTGTTTTATTTTTTTCTGTTTTTCAGTATATGATGAACCTATAGGGATAGCAAGTAGCATAAGGGTTTGGGTGGTGGGATGGGATATAGTGATGGTGATGGATGTCAAGGAGTCCAGGAAGGAAAAAAGTGTTTGGAAACTGATTGTGGTAGCAAGTTTACAATACTGCGTGATGTGAGTGAACTATGGAATGAGATGATATATGTATTAACTCCCAATTAAAGATAAATCAATAGGAGCCCAAAACCCAGGGACAAGGGAATAACATGTGATCTTACATTGATGACAAGAAGGGCATAGAGCGGAGTTTGATTAAGTGCAATGTAGCTGAGAGTAATTATTGAAAGCCAAATGAAGGTCGATCATGATAATAGGTAAAGAGTTAAGTAAAATGAAATAGAGGAAAGAACTGTGAGGGAAAGGCCATTTATAGAGGAATAAATACAGGCATGTACATATGTAAATATATTTTTATATAACAAAAGGACATAGATCTATGTACATATATGTTACGTATTAAAGTATCAGATGGACATTGGGCCTCGGCTCCAAGTGCTTTCTCAATGCAAGAACACTTTGTTCTAATAACCTGGCATTCTGTCATGCTCACCTTCCCGACACGCAGAAGACAAAATGGGTGCATAAGCAAATGTGGTGATGAAAGCTGATGGTGCCCGGCTACTAAAAGATATAGTATCTGGGGTCTTAAAGGCTTGAAGATAAACAAGCAGCCAACTAGCTGGGAAGCAACAAAGCCCACACGATGGTGGAAGAAGCACACCATCCTGTGTGATCATAAGGTGTCGACACGATCAGGTATCAGGCACCAGAAGACCCAAGACAAACAATCATATCCATGTGAACAGGGGGAGTGGAGACGCAAAGCCCATCTGTAGACAATTGGACATTCCCTCACAGTAGGGTCACAACGAAGGGATGAGCCAGCCAGGGTGCAGTATAGCACCAATGAAACATACAACACTCCTCTAGTTCTTTAATGCTCCCCCCTCCCCCCACTATCATGACCCCAGTCTACCTTACAAATCCGGCTAGACAGGAGCATGGACACTGGTACAGATAAGACCTCTTGAGACGCAGAATCCAGGTCAGATAAACCACTCAGGAACAATAATGGAAGTAGCGATACCATGAGGGTAGAGGGAAGGTGGGGAGAGAAAGGGGAAACCAATCGCAATGATCCACATATACCCCCTACCCCAGGGTGATGAATAACAGAAACATGAGTTAAGGGAGACAGGAGATGGTGTGAGATATGAAAATAATAATAATAATAATTTATAAAGGGTTCATGAGGGGGTGGGCAGAGGGGAAAAAAAAGGAGCTCATACCAAGGGCTCAAGTAGAAAGAAGTGGTTTGAAAAGAATGATGGCAGCATATGTACAAATGTGCTTGACACAGTGGATGTATGGATTGTTATAAGAGCTGTAAGAGTCCCCAATAAAAAGCTTTTTAAAAACAACTATATTTTTAAAAGAAATAACTTAATTTCCCTACTTATTATGTAGGAATTCGCTCTGTTAAGTGACTGTTTTGTTGTATGCAAAGTGGAAGCTGGGGAAGGAGAGTCTATTTGGTGCATAGAGGAATCCAGCAACTAGAGTATTTAGATAGACCTGCAGTCTTTCCAGTCCTCATGTAGTTGTTTCCTATTGCCTCTGTAACAAGCTACCACAAGCCCAGTGTTTTAAACAATTATATAAAGAGAAAATGCCTTTCCTGGGAAGCCAGAACAGAGAAGGCAGTGAGAGTGAATTAGGGGAGGTGTGGGGAGCAGGGGAAGGAGGAGAAGTTGGAAACAAAGGAGAGGCATAGATTTTATAGGGACTTTAAACTATATTAACTATGTTGCACTTTATTTTAAGGTAAATAGAAACAACTTGAGAGTTTTTAAACAGGGGAAGGCACATTGAAATTTAGGCTCAAAAATTATTTCTTTTGCTGATATAGAGAAAACATTAATGTGACTCAGAGTTTCTTAGGGACCTTATATTTACGTGCAATAAATAGAAATTCATGTATATTGCAAGTGCTGTTTTGAAATATATACAATACTATTGTTTGCATCCTTTTATTTGAAAAGTTTGTTTTGCTTCTTCAATTGAACACAATGACTGTTAAAGTCAAAGAAGCCTTGGTGGTGAAGAGGTTACATGTTGGGCTGCTACCTGCAAGGCCAGCAGTTCAAAACCACCAGCGGCTTTTGCAGCAGAAAGATAGGGCTTTCCACACCAGGAAACAGTTGCAGGCCTAGAAACCCACAGGCTCAGTTCTACCCTGTTCTAAAGGATCTCTCTGAGTTGACATTGACTTGATGACAGTGAATTTGGGGTTGGGTTTGGTTAAAGTCAACTCTTCCGATGGGTCCTGGGCCCTGGTGTTTAGGAATACTCACCAAAGAGCCTTCTAGGGGTGAGACGTCATTTTCCATGGTATGGTTCTCAGTGGCACAGAGGGAAGCGTTCCATTCTGTCACTCAAGAAACTAAGAAATGTTGGCTCTTGTTAACGTGCACCTCATCGACAATTTTACTAGTTCCCTTAAGTATCAGCCTATAAGGAAAAATAGGCCGCACCTCCCACTTTCTGCAATGTTGTATGTATCTTCTTAATATGTCCTCAACAGCCTTAGTCTTGGTAGAGAGAACATCATGAAGTGGGAGAACCAGAGCAGCGTGTCGGAATTCCTCCTCCTGGGGCTCCCCATCCGGCCAGAGCAGCAGACCATGTTCTTTGCCTTGTTCCTGGGCATGTACCTCACCACAGTGCTGGGGAACCTGCTCATCATCCTGCTCATCAGACTGGACTCTCGCCTGCACACCCCCATGTACTTCTTCCTCAGCCACTTGGCCTTCACCGACATCTCTTTCTCATCTGTCACTGTTCCCAAGATGTTAATAAACATGCAGACTCAGAATCAATCCATCCTCTATTCTGGGTGCATAGCACAGATGTATTTTTTCATATTTTTTACAGATCTGGACAATTTCCTTCTCACTTCAATGGCATATGATCGGTATGTGGCCATTTGTCACCCCCTCCACTACACCACTATCATGAGGGAGGGACTGTGCAGCCTACTAGTAGCTCTGTCCTGGATCCTCTCCTGTGCCAGTGCCTTGTCTCACACCCTCCTCCTGGCCCGCTTGTCCTTCTGTGCTGACAACACCATCCCCCACTTCTTCTGTGACCTTGCTGCCGTGCTCAAGCTGTCCTGCTCAGACACCTCTCTCAATGAGATAGTCATTTTCACCGTGGGAGTGGCAGTCATGACTCTCCCATTGACGTGCATCCTCATCTCTTATGGCCGAATAGGGGCCACCATCTTGAAGATTCCGTCTACCAAGGGGATCTGCAAAGCCCTGTCCACCTGTGGCTCCCATCTTTCTGTTGTGTCTCTGTACTATGGGACAATTATTGGGCTGTATTTTTTCCCCTCAGCTAGCAAATCCACGGACAAGGACATAATTGCTTCTGTGATGTACACAGTGGTCACCCCCTTGCTAAACCCTTTCATTTACAGCCTAAGGAACCGGGACATGAAGGGGGCCTTGGAAAAACTCTTCAACAAGGTGACAATTTCTTCTTAATGATATTTGCTCTCATTCTTTATAGCAGATATATGAATTCACATATCCTCAGATACTGGACCTCTAATGCCACCCAACATGGACACAATTCTCAGTTAATATTTAATGACTTGTATTCTGTTACAGTCATTCTCTACTTTACTAACAACTCTTTAGTGTAAACTGTGAATTCTACATGGAAATTATTGATCATTGCTCTTGCCTGTTAGGTTCAAAAAGTATGTATCTAATAGAATGTATGCCTCTCGTGTGATTTCCTGGGAATTTGTTGGATCTTATGAATCTTTGGAAGATATTGGTTGGTGGTCCCTTGATCTAGAAAGACTACAGAACTGGGGATTTGGGAGGTCTCTTTTCATTTTCCCACCCCTCATTCAGTGCATATCTCACATTTTTCACTGGAGATGATGAAGGGTCAGGAGAAGAAACTTTATAGTACCCTTTTAACTCCAGGAAACCGCCTATTATTATGCATTTAGATGCTTCACTCAAGGACACAAACTCTTTTCTTGATTTTAGGAATGCTGGCCATCCTGGTAGATTATAATGACCTCCATTCAGCATTTTGTTCTCTGATTGGATGTCTATGAAGATTTATCATTGCATATTTAAATTTAAATCAGGACACAAGCTCAATCTAGGGGGAGAATAAGAAAGACAAAGAATGTACCCATTGTCTGCAATTTTCTGTAGCACCCACTGAATTTAGTCCCTTTGTCATTTAGTCCCTTCATTCTAACTCCATAAAAATAATTTCTTCTCAGCTTAGTGATTTATATCATGAGCGCCCAAGAAATAGATATTTGTCAGCATGTGAACGACCAACTAGGTTTCTTTCTTTATGCTGCTCTTTAGTTAAGGATAAATGGGATCACAGTGGCTTCTGAGAGTCAGCACCATGTAACCACAACAGAAGAGTATTAGAAAAAGACAGCTCTAAGTCTTCTCCTTTTGTGTAGAAGGAAATAATTATTAAACACTGAATGTATTATTTATTTGAAATAAATGTAATAATGAATTTGCCTTAACACTAAAGCTGACCAAGAATAATGAATACTAGCTTTCTCTACCTTCTGTATCAGAGATGTATTTTCCACAGGAACTTGCACAACACTCCTGAAAGATGGTGACTATGGGAAGCAGGGAGCACCCTAGAACAGCATGGCATGTAGATTCTATTCCCAGTTCCAAGGTACTCAGCTGCCCTAGTGTGTTAGTCCAAGTAGACTAGAGAAACAAATCCAGAGACACTCATATGTGTGTAAGAGGGAACTTTATATCAAAGCGAAATTGTACATTAAGAAAACAATCCCAGCCAAGTCCAGATCAAGTCCATAAGTTTGATATTATCCCATATGTTGATACCAGTCCATAAATTCCTCTTTAGACTCATGCAGCCATGCAATGATGCTGAATGCAGGAAGACCACCAGCCAGTGGGTGGAAAGTCTTGTGGATCCAGTGGTGGTGTAAGTATCTCAGCCCTGGAGTGGGTTTCCACGTGGTTTCTCCAGCGTCAGGGCTCTGGTTCTCTCAGCGTAGCTCCATGTGGCTTGGCAACAGGAATGTCTCACAGGAAGAGTGTGTGTGTTCTGCCTCCAGTGAGCTATTTATCTCTGCAGCACCTCCAAATGAGGTCATCAAGTTGTGACCTGATTGACAGGCTAGACTCCACTCTTTCGCAAGTTGACAGGAGATTATGCAACTGCCACACCTAGGATATAGAATCATATATTCTCTGCCTTGAGATATGACTAAAGTAAATTGAATGCATGAGTTGGTGGCTGGGTGAAGCAAGGAAAATCAGAAGAGAATCTTACTTCCTGCTTATTTAATATTCACTCAGTAGACCTTGACCTGGAGCTGATGAAGTTGTCTTTTAGCATCCCAGGCTCCTTTGTGGAAGGACAGATGGCATTTATTCCTGCATTGCTAAGCTGCATGCACAGAATCACTTTGTCTGAAAGTCAACTCCCAACCAGTTCCAGAGCCAAAACTTGAACAAGGCTGGAACCTCTCTGGCTGGTCTAGAGAAAGCTTGCCTTAGTAAGCCAGGACAAAGCAATGAGTGGCTGTATACCATGAGCCTTGCTGTGGTGACTCCATTGGTAGGATTGAGCTCCTGGCCCACATTCCCTGCCTACATTACAGTTATCTGGAGCCCTGAACATCTCCTAGCCCCATCAAGTTCATCTTCCAAAGGGCTCAAAATTGATAATCATACTTTTAGCCACGGGCTGGGGACTCCTGCTTTGAATGCATTTTTCTCATGAAATAATAAGCCTGTAAGGAAAAGCATTATCACCATCTGTCCTGTTAATCCACCCCTGTAATCCAGATTGTTTTTTCTTGCATATGAATAATCCAATATGGAGTCCTGGTGGTTAAGTGTTGGACTGTGATCCACATGGTCAGCAGTTCGAAACCACCAGCAGCTCTGCAGGAGAAAGACTGGGCTTTCTCCTCCTGTAAATAGTTACAGTCTCGGAACCCACAGGGGGTGGCTATGAGTCAACATTGACTCCAGAGCAGCAAGTTTGGTATGCATATCCAAAGCAAACCAGCATTTACCATATTGCTTAGGATATGTACATAGAACTTTTATAACTCCTTTATTGAAAATATGCAATATTTTAAGACTTTTTTTTCTCAAGTGGGGTTAAAGACTAAGTTTCATTCCCTTCCTCACTGAATCATCTCATTGGGTTTGGAACACAAATTGCTACAAAGAAAAACAAAAACTAATATGCAATGTGATTACAAGTTTACAAATATTTCTGGAAGTTTATAATTACTAACACTTCAACTGACCAGTTTATGTCCTTCTCAAAAGTTGACATTACTTTTTCCAAATATTACAATAGACAACCCTTTCCGAGAGCAGAGAAACTATAACATCCCCAAATTAGGAGCTCCAGCCTTACATGTTAGCTGGACCTATCATAGAAAACTAGACACACAATTTCTTTTTCTTTTTTTGGGTCCCTCTGCTACCTTAATACTAAACCTATAAATATATGCACATAAATCTATTTCCCCATCCTCATATATAAATATATTTAAATATGTACATGCCTTTATTTAGATCTCTATAAATGCCCTTTGCCTCCTAGCTCTTTCCTCTATTTCCTTTTACTTTCCTCTTGTCCCACTATCATGCTCAGCCTTCATTTGGGTTTCAGTAATTCCTCTGGGTTACATTGCCCTTAATCACACCCTACCAGGCCTCCTACACCCTCTTCACCACCGATTTGGATCACTTGTTCTTCCCTTGTCCCCGATCAAGGGCAATGTAACCTAGAGTAATTACTGAAACCTGAATGAGGGTCAAACATGATAGTGGGACAAGAGGAAAGTAAAAGGAAATAGAGGAAAGAGCTAGGAGGCAAAGGGCATTTATAGAGATCTAAATAAAAGCATGTACATATTTAAATATATTTATATATAATGATAGAGAAATAGATCTATGTACATATACTTATATATTAAGTATTAAGGTAGCAGATGGATATTGGGCCTCTACACAAGTACTCCCTGAACACAAGGTTCTAATAACCTGGCATTGCGTGATGCTCACCTTTCCGACTCCATCACTGAAGACAAAATGGGTGAATAAGCAAATGCGGTGAAGAAAGCTGATGGTGCCCAGCTATCAAAAGCTATAGTGTCTGGGGTCTTAAATGTTTGAAGATAAGCAATAGGTTATATAGCTGAGGAGCAACAAAGTCCACATGGAATAAACACACCAGCCTGTGTGATCACAGGTGTTGATGGGATCAGATATCAGGTATCAAAGACCTAGAACAAAAAAATCATATCAATGTAAATGAGGGGGAGTACAGAGTAGAGACCCAAAGACCATCTGTAGACAATTGGACATCCCCTTACAGAAGGATCACAAGGAAGAGACGAGCCAGTCAGAGTGCAGTATAGCACTGATGAAACATACAACTTTCCTCTAGTTCTTTAATGCTTCCTTCCTCCCACTATCATGACCTCAATTCTACCTTCCAAATCTGGCTAGACCAGAGCATGTACATGGGTACAGATAAGAGCTGGAAACACAAGGAACCCAGGACAGTTAACCCCCCAGGACCATTAATGAGAGTAGCAATACCACGTTGGTAAGAGGAAGATGGGGTGAGAAAGGGGGGACTGATCCAAATGATCTACATATGACCCCTCCCAGGGGGACGGACAACAGAAAAGTGGGTGAAGGGAGACATCAGTCAGTGTAAGACATAAAAAAATAATAATAATTTATAAATTATCAAGGGTTCATGAAGGAGGGAGGGAAAAAATTAGGAGCTGATACCAAGGGCTCAAGTAGAAAGAAAATGTTTTGAAATGGTGATGGAAATATATGTACAAATGTGCTTGACACAATGAATGGATGGATTGTGATAAGGGCTGTATTGGCCCCCAATAAAGTGATTTAAAAAAAGGAATTAGATTCACTTAGCTTTGTGAAGAAAAACACTTGGTTTTCAATGATTATTATCTTTGAATGCAAGAAGCTATAAATTAAGCCAAGAGAGTCCTTATACTTAAAATTTAATTTATTTGCCATTACAGATATAAAATTAGAGCTAATATCAGAAAAATAGACTGAACTTACAGATTTTGTAATTAATAGCCATTTAGTGGAAAACTCACTGCTGTCAAGTATATCCCTCAACTCATAGCCACCCTATAGGGCAGGGTAGGATTGCGCCTGTGGAATTTCTGGGACTTTAAATCTTTACTGGAGTAGAATGCTCCATCTTTCTCCAGTGGGGCCGCTGGTGGTTTACAACTGCTGACCTTGTGGTTAGCATCCCGCTGTATAACCCACTGTGGCTGTGATGTCAGTGAGTCAATCTAGTGTGGCTGAACCTGGTCAGAGAGAGAGTTGGAGAGATGACCTCCAGCTTATAGATGCTCACAGTTTAGAAGCATAGAGGGACACCAAATTTAAAAAAAATTCAAGAGTCCAAAATGGCCTTAAAGGAACATAGGGGT